CCCGCCACAATGCCCGGCTATTTTTTGGTTGCAGCCATCATTGTTTGGCGAGCCTGGGCTGGATTCGAACCCGCCAACTTAACTGTATGTGGCTGGCACCTTAGCCACTTGAGCCACAGGTGCCAAGCCTCATATACAATTTGAAATATTTTCATCAAGCTGTAATTTCTAACTATAAGTAAAGTAAGTAGATATGACACTTTGTAGATCAAACAATAGTAAAATCTATAGGATAGGGTTACTCACAGTGACTTATAAAGGGTGTGTATCTGTCAAGAGTTTGCTCAGGAGACAGAAACTACACGGTAACAGGTGACACAAAAATTTCCAACTTAGTAGAATGATGGTAATAGTACATGAAAGTTCATATGTCTAGCTTCATGCTAAATGCTGATGATTCTAAGATGGCTTCTTCCCTAAGCAAGGACAATATAATAGTTATGTTTTCTAAAGTCAGTATGTAAAAATAACATACAATAAAAAAGAAGCAAAAATAAAGTCAGTACATGAAGTAAAAAAATATTTTCAAAGCTATCTTTGACAATCCCTTAGGATAATACTCCCATAGGCCCTCTCAGTAGGTCTATCAGAGTCAAGTTTTTCCTCCAGTGTTGGAAAGAAATCTGTAGTTGATCACCAAATGATGTTGTTGGCTTTGTTTTAGGAACCCTATTATAGTCCATCTGATAATTAATTATTTAATGAACACTTACTATTGGGTTGTAGAGATATCCTTTTTCTCAAGGAGCTAAACATTTTAATGAAGGAAATAAACAGTAAACACAAAATTTCAGATACTTTCAAGTGTTATAAAGAAAATTAAATATAGTAATGAGTATATAACTGGTAGTGATATTGGTGGCAGTGGCAGCTACTAATGCTGTATCAGAAAGTACTTCTCTGAAGAGATGACATTTGAGATGACACAGTGGAGAATATTCTGAGTAGAAAAAATAGTAAGAGCAACGTCCTGAGAATCTCTGGTGTGTTAGGTCACAAGCTTGGTATGTTTAAACAAAAGGCCACGGTGACCAGAGCTTTGTAATTGAGAAGGAAGGTGAAAAGGGGTAAGATGAAACAAGTAGGCACAGACTAGCTTATGTAGAGCCTAATATGACCTGTTAAAGTTTTGATTTTATTCTGGTTTCAGGGGAAACCTACTAAAGAAGTTTAATATAGGAATGACATTTATTCTTTAGAAAGATCACTCTGACTTCGGGTTTTTTAACAGTTGAGCGCTGTTGACATTTTGGGCTGAATAATTCTTTTTTTTTTTGGCAGTTTTTGGCCAGAGCTGGGTTTGAACCCATCACCCCTGGCACATGGGGCCAACACCCTACTCCTGTGAGCCACAGGTATGACATTGATAGCATCCTACAACAGTGTAAGCACTGTAGGATACTTAGTAGCATCTCTGACTCTACTCATTAAAAGCAAGTAACACCCTCCCATCCTAGGTTTTTTTTTTTTCAGTTTTTGGCTGGGGTCAGGTTTGAACCCACCACCTCCGGTACCACCCTACTCCTTGAGCTACAGGCGCCACCCCTCCCATCCTAGTTTTGATGACCTAAAATATCTCCAAACATTGCCAAGTGTTCCCTGAAGGACAACATTACTGTTCTAACAGTACAAAAATAGTATGTATACTTAAACACTAAGATCTGACATGGTGTTGGAACATATCATGGCCTTTAGCAGTATTTTGTCTTGTTTTTGCTAAGTTTATGCTCACATGCTATGACTTCACTGTTAAATGCCACAGTGGACATCTGTTAAAAGGCCCAATTGGGTGCAAAAAGGCAGTATTGTAATTAAGTCTACCCAAGGGAAAGCAAGGAAAAGAGAAGGTCAGGAAGAGTTTCTTAGAGCAAGAGGGAAACGTGCAATTTTTGACTCAAGTCTAAATAGATGAATAATTGCAAAAAGGTGGGCAGTGGTTTCGAAGCAGAGGAAGCCAGAGCAAAGAGTCTCTGACCCTGGAGTGTCCTTTATGCCAGGAAAAGACAAGCTGAAAGGAAATGGGAAATGAAGTGGTAGTGTCTGAACAGGCACCTGGATATTTGGGCCTACACTTCAGGAAAGTTGGCTGGAAAGCAAGAGATTTAGAAAATATCCTCTTATGGTGATAATTAAGGGAGAGGGAGGGGTTGGGGATGAGCTCACCAAGGGAGTGATGTAAACAGAGTAGTAAGGGCAGGCTTCTAAGGGAATACTTAATTCTGGGGGCCTCTGGGGCAGGAAGGACAGAAAGGCCTGTTACGGGCTGGCTACACGGACTATTGGGAGCTCGGGTACCCAGAGCATTTTGCAGTGTTGTCTACCATTCTTAAATTTGACAACTAGGTGCCTTAAGTACTTTACATTTCACTCCTGTTTGGGGGCCACGTTTATGTTGCTATTCCCACTTAAATGGTAATCCATCTCGTTCCATCTCTATGAGGAAGCTTTGTGTAGAAAGCATAAATAATAATAGATTGAGAGTTGTCAACCTTTAGTGTGTATTAGAACCGCCTGAAAGGTTTGTTAAACAGGTTTACTGGGCAGGAGTTTGATGGAGGTCTTAAGGTGGAGTCTTAGAATTTGCATTACTAACACGTTTACAGGTGGTGTTGCTAATCTGGGAAGTACATTCTGGGAACCACTACTTTTTGCTCTGGAATGCCAATTCTGAGTTAAAATATTAATCCGAGCCCTTGTAGTTGCCCTTCTTAAAGCTAATGTGTATTTAATGCGGTTGCGCGTGAGGGGAGCCTTGAATCACCTAATAACTCCCTTCTGTAGTGGTTTTGATTAGTTCATCTCTAGTTGATGTATCTAAAATTCCCAGTAAATATTAATTTCTCAGAAAGCCAATTTTAAAAAAATGCTTTGTTCTTAGAGGACGCATTTCAGAGGCAGGGAGGCTGCCCCCACCTCCCAGTCTCAGGCCCTCGGTAGTCAACCACTGAATAGGCTCCGGGATTCCCCCACCCCTAGAACTCCTGCTACTTCGCCATGGACTTGAGAGAGCACAAAAGGGATTGGGCGAGGATCCGGGGACCGGCTGGGCGGTCCCAATGGAGGGTATTTTCCCGTAGGCGGGACTGAGGGACCAGACAAGGGGAAAGTCCCCGCCCTCGCCCCCGTCTGGCGCGCCGGGGCGTTCCCGGCTGCGGCCGCGATGCTAATTGGTTGCCTGTCCCGGCGCCCCGCCCACCCTGGGCCCGCCCCGGCTCCATCTTGCGGGCTACGGGGTTGGGCTGTGACGCTGCTCCAGGGGTCAGGTGAGGAACTGTGTCCCCTCTCTTCCCCTCCTGTCCGCCTGGCTCACCTCGCCCCCGATACGCTACGGGGCCTTGCGCGTGCCCAGTGCCCTGGCGCAGTGGAGGGGCCGTGTGCGTCTTCCGGGTGGCGGCGACTGGGTGTGCGCGTCTCGGGACCTAGGCTGCCGGGGAGGGGGGAATAGAAAGGGAAGAGGGGTCGCTGGGGTGAGGCGAGTGAGGAGGCTGGTCACACGTGTGGGAAGACCAGGACGTCCTGTCGGTCTGTCCTCTGTGCCTTTTGGCTGTGCGGAGATCCAAGGCACCTTTGACGCCCTGCCCTCAGGCAGGTAGACCACAGGTGGAAGGGCTGAGGCCACAGGGTAGCTCTGCTGAAGCGACTTTAAGGAAGGCTGAGTAGGGAAACCAGCGAGTAGTACCGAAAGCTGGCGGGTGACTAGATTTTCAGTGACACAGCAAATTTAGGGAAACTTAGAAAATTTGTGTTGTGCTTGGTGAACTCTAGGGCTGACTGCACAAACTTGAGGTTGCTCACATTTACAATTCTTGGAAACTATTTTTAGGATAGCTTTCCAGATTTGATTCTAGTTCCCTTACTCCAGCAAACGTGTGCTGATGGGTGTCCACCATAAAGTGACAGAAATGAAGCCTATATGTTCCGACTGTCCTTTTTGTTTTTTAAAGGTGGACAAAGGGCTTTATTACAAGCTGAAAAGAAGTGAAAGTACTCAGTGCAGAGCAGGAGCTGGCCCACAGGGACCCTAATTTTCGGCCAGCTGACAAAGAGCTAATCTGCTAAAATTGCTTGTCCTAATTAGGCAGTGAGTGTAATGAGTTACTTGTCAGTCAAGGAAGGAGTTTCAAGCACTGGGTAAGGCAGGTGAAAGAGGTAATTTTGGCCACTGCAAACTTAAGCATCATTCAGTCCTGTCTGGTGGACGGCAGCCTACCTGTGCCTGTAAAGGACTAACTGTGTCCCCACGTTCCTTATCCAAATTGCTAATTTAAATGGTCCTTCCAAACCTAGAGGCCAATTTTGGATAATCTTATCTGCTGATGCCCATCTTCAGTCACCTTTCCTGTTTTGTGTTATTTCCCCCCATAAATTTGCAACAGCTGCCTCCTGTATAGTCCTAGGCTTCATGCCATCTATGACACACCCATAGTGAGACCTAACCCTTTTACTAGCTGACTCACTGGGTGGAGATGGTTTAGAGAACCAAGAATGATTTTCTTGTCTTTTATAAGTGGTTGCTGACAAAATGTTAAAAAGAAAATCTCTGGTTCACCAGTATAATCTTACTTGGGCAAAGTTGCGTAATTTGTTGAGTCATCTTGGGATTTGTTTAGCTTTTTACAAAAACTTAAAAGTACTTTTTGAGGAGTTGATATGTACTTAATTCTAAAAGGACTAAAATAAATTGAAAAGTAAGTCTCCTCATTGTGCCCCAGCTCTCCTCCCAGGAGGCAGCCCTGCTTTCTACTTCAGATATTCTTTCAGGGATATTCTATACATGTATAAGAAAATAAGTGTTTTTTTTACACATATGGTTGCGGACTACCTATGCAATTTTCACTTTCTCTTTTTATGTGTTAGAGATGGGTTTCAATGAGTAAAAAGACACCTCCCTCCCCCAAGACAGTCTCTGTTATCTGGGCTTGAATGCAGTGGCATCATCATAGCTTGCTGCAACCTCAAGCTCTTGGGCTCAAGTATCAGCCTCCCCAGTAGCTGGGACCACAGGTGCGAGCGCCCACGTCTGGCTAATTTTTCTACTTTTTGTAGAGATGGGGGTGGTGGTGGTGGTGGTGGTGGTGATTGAGAGTGTCTTACTCTTGCTCAGGCTGGTCTGGAACTCCAGACCTCAATCAGTCCTCCCACCTGGGCCTACCAAAATGCTAGGATTGCAGGCGTGAGCCACTCCTGGCTATGCATCATTTTTAATAGCTGCATAACACTTCACTGTATGGGATATCCGTAATCTATTTCACCTCTCCCTGATTGATGGCTGTTTAGATTGTTTTTAACCTTTTCCTCTTACAAATAATGTTGTAATGAATAATCTTAACCCTCTAAGCCTACCCTGGACTTTCTGTTGATCAGCCTGTCCTGAAGCTACCTAGGGGATGCCACTCATTAGTAGGGTGACCAGACGTCCCGCTTTTGGCAGAACAGTCCCGCTTTTGGCGGAACAGTCCCGCTTTTGAACAATTTGTCCCGCGTCCTGCGGCATTTTAAAAAAGTCCCAATTTTTGGAAAGAATGGGAGAACAGTAAGGGAATATATGGTTCAGCTGCCATGTGGCTATTTTGCCAGGATGTGAGTTTTATATTGTTTTTGTTAATTTTATAATGTTAAACTGTAATAATAACAAATAATTGTTGAGAAGTGATTATTGAGAACTGCGTATCAAAGTTTGCATTGTTGTCAGGCCCTGCCCTGCCCTGTTCTCTTCCCTTCCCCGTTCTCTGCCCTTCCCCCCACCCCATGTTGTCCCGCTTTACCAATGTTAAAATCTGGTCACCCTACCCATTAGTCAACTCATTAGTATACACAAAGGCATCACTTTAGAATTTAGGATTTTAGAAGTTGTATGCCACATTTTACAGATATGTTGCCCACTCTGGTCTAAAATCTTCCTGCCTTG